ACACGTTGCATCATCCAGCTTTTTGATTGGTAATTAGCGATTTGACCTATTTGACCTAAGAGAACATGGCGGATATCCTACAGCATCAAACGTTTATACGAGACCGGAATCATTCGCGTACGACGAAACTAAGTTGACTTTTATTTGTATTTCATAACAATTCAACAAATTTATTTTGTGTACATTATTATAATCACTACTGAGTAATAATCAACAATTCAGAAACGCAGCATGCCGAGATTTTTGTGTTCGTTTTTATTTGAAACTTCGTTTATTTAGAATATATTTTCGTTACCAATAAAATAAAAATCTCTCAGTCAATCAGAAACCCGGATTCATGCCTTCGGGGAAAGTCCCGTTTGAACGCTCACATCGTTTTTTTTTTTCGTTTGGGGGAAAACCAAAACTGGTCGCAATTTTCGAATAAAAACGAGTCAGCAATTTTCAGGGTACTCGAAATTTTGGAGGCAATTAAAATACCGAAACCCGACAAATAATCAGGCGATCGAATTTTTAGAGGGGTCGAAATTTTTGAGTTTTTACGGTAATATGCATTTATTTTCTTAATACGAAATATATATTCTAAAAGAATTTTAAAGTAAAAACAAACACTAATGCGTTGCTTAGTATCAAACGGTGGTGCTATGCAGCCTGTCTTGCAGCGTTTCACAAGTGAATAACTTACTTGTTTTCAAATTTTTGCAATTGATGATTATTACTCAGTAGTGATTACAATAACGTACAAAAAATAAATTTATTGAATTGTTATGAAATGCATGTAAAATTCAATTTAGTTTCACCGCAAGCAAATGATTTCGGTCACATGTAAACGCTTGATCCGATATGATATCCGCCATGTTTGTCCAAGCCCATTCGTGACTTGAAACTGCTCTTTGACCTGATAGGTCAAGTCACTAATTAACCAATCGAAACGCTGGATAGTGCCAATGTGTTTGAATTACCATAGCTCATTTAAATATGTTAATGTCAGTTCAGCGACTTTGAAGTGACTGCAACACCGAAGAGATTTACCGTTGTTGTAGTCAGATTGTTTGGCTTTGATTTTGATTGGAAAACGTCATGATTTTTTTTTTTAATCAAGAAAATCGTTGTTTTCGAAAAATATGGTGAGCATTGAAGAAGAATTTAACACTTTTTACGATGACCCACAATAAACATTGTACTCTTGAATAGGCATCAGTGACTACGGAAAACCTAAATTAGACTCTAATCTAGGCGTCAGGAAAGATTGAAATGTTCGAAAAATTATGCCTTAATTATAATTAAATGGTATATCTTTTTCTGAAATATGTGGTGGCTGTTTGGTTTGTGAAAGTTTGGGCTGCCGCATTTAGGATGTACCGTAAAAATCATATTTGAGACGGCAGCTTTAATAGAAGCTGCACCCCTAACTTGAAAGATTGTTTCATGTTGAAATTGACAAGTTTTGATCCCAGGAAAATGGCTGTCTGGCGGCCATTTTGTTTTAATGATTGGGCTTCTAGAGCCGTATCTCTTATAAATGCTTTGACTCATTATATACAAATTTTATATATTTCTTGTACATCATGTTATATTTATACATGTATTCAAAATGGATGATTTTGAATGCTGTTCCAGAGCAATTTCTCTCAATATGAACAAGTATCAATCATTTTACTGTTAAAAAATCATATTCCTGACATGGTTATATTCCAGCTATATTACTATAAACAAAACTATATATCTTAAATTTGATAACAAACAGGGACTGTGCCATGCATGGCTTGTTTTCTTAGATATTGCCAGGGCTGATCAAGTTCAAACTTCACGCACACATTAGACATCATGTTCAACAAACTGGCTGGCTGCAATTCCACAAATTTTTTTCTCAATATTTCCATTCACATTTCAAGTTCATAGAATAGAATAAAATGCTATGTTTAATTCATACAAATCCGTACAAGCATCATGTAACATGGCGTCACAGTTCAACTGATACAGTGTGTCATAGGATTTAAAGCTGTGTTCAGAATTTAATAATTAGCTTCACCTAATTTTCTAGACATTTAACACTTCTTTTGTCCTTCAAACGTCACCTTTAACACAATAATTTTGATCATTCATTGAACACACATGTGTCTGCAGTCAGTGTTTGAGTGAGAGGATGATATTTTCAAGGAGCAAACAAGTGAAAAAGAGCAATAAATAATTTTTATCAGTTTACGGTCAAAGGTTATAAATAAAAAAATCATTCTCTCAGTGTTTTGCAACAACGACTTTAATGCTTTACCTGTAATCCTTTGCTAGAGAATTAAACTGGTAAACTACATATACTATACCATGCATTTCTATGGGCTTTACACGAGCTGCTGTGAAACACCGGGCTAAGAGTCTGTGAAAACGGCTAAATTCGAGAAAACAGTACAAACTCAATCAACTTTGAAGTAATCCTAAACAACCAATTTTATATATGTTACACACACACGGGTAATCTTGTTACATTGTTCAGGGAGAGTCTCAACAACCATCCCAAAGTACCGTTTTCTGAGAGTTTTCGGCCTTTGTTTTCTCTGCCAGGCGATGGAAATGCTTGGATGTTCGCCCCTGTAAATACTGAACTACTCCACATATTTCATTCCCCAGACTTTCGGTCTACACTGAAATGTCTATGGTATTTTCACAGAGGCCTTTGGTTTTTATTCTCATGGAAAAATAAACAAATTAGACCTGAGATACTGTTGACAATCTAATATTTTCATTGCACATATACATGTAGATGTAACTCACTTTATCTCAGCCAACTACAACACTTGATTATAGTGTACTTTATTCTGTGAATTACATTGTAGTCATACACAGTTAGAAAAGTAAGTTCATTCAAATCTAGGTCAGGTTTTATGAGTTTAAATGTTACATTTACTGTACTTGATAAAGTAGTAGTTTATTGATTATGCAACTACTGCTTGGCATTCATTGAGTACATGATTTACAATCTACAGTCAAACTGACATTGTAGTGGCCTCTAAAGAGAATGAATATTGTTTTTAGTAAAATGCTTATGAATAAGGTAAGTTTTTTTTCAAATAAAATATTAGACACAACCATATTCAGTTGTGTAAAAAAATGCTGCAATTTTTTTAGTGTTTTTTCAATTAATTACTGTAGGTTCTCAGGAGTATAGAAATAGAATCGTTTTTCTGTATGCGAAATGAAAAAAAAAAAATTCTTTTCTCTCCTAGTCTCTCCCAAAAATGTAATACATTTTTGTTTAGCAAATTCTTCCATCATACCAATTATCAGCTTTCATTATAAATTAGTTAAAATATCGTCCAATGACAAAAATTTATTTTTCAGGCTTATTTATAATATTCAAACGTTGTTAATATTCTAGTTGCTGACTAACTCAGAGAATTAAAATGACAGTAATTGATATGGCACTTACCAATCCTAGACTAATGCGTGTAAGTGCATATGCAGTTTACAGCCGCCGTTTTGGGTAAAAATATAACAATTATTTTTCAACATAAAGCTTTCCGTCACTATACAATAATGTTTGTTTTTTTGCAGTCTTAAATTCTCTTTGCCCACATGCATACTGATGATGTTTCGTGTTGGTATCATCACATATAGTTGGTGATATTTCACGCTAAACAGTAATCAGTAATTGCAAACATTCGAGTTACTACTTGTAATGAAATATGAAAAACACTGTACTTGTAACTTTAAAAATACATCATACTGACAATGCACAAGTTATTGCCAATCTATCCCCGCTCTGGAAACAGCTATTGTCTAAGGTGTGAATTACCCGCTGTGCTCCGACTGCGCTGCGTATGACTTTCCACGAAGCATAGCCTCTTGATAGCAGAGCATTGTATTCAGTGTTCTCTCCAGGAATTTAAACCACTGTGGTGGGTTAATTTGCATACCATTTACATAATAATAGAGATTGACCAAAGCACATTTACACCCACACGAGAAACAACATATATTTTAAAAACAAAGTGGCAGATATTTATTTGCTTTATACATGTATGTGTTATAAATACTATTCTTTTGGACACTTTTGTAATATTAATGAGCTTGGTCACAGTGCAAATATGTTTTAGAAGAGTTTGAATTTAAAAATGAAACATTGCAAATGCAAATGCTGCAGACTAACAAATAAATTGTAAAAGGTTAAATGAAACGTTTCAGCCAAGAATATGTTCACGACTTTCATGATCTTATTTACTACAAAAACATTCTCTTTCAAAAAATTGCTGTTCATTATTTGTACCATCAGCTTCTACAACGTTTACACAAATAAAACTTCCAAACGATCATCAAAGTCACAACGTGACGTGACATAACTCACTTCGCAATTTCATACACCGGTTATACCAATAATTCCTCTTACTCAGTCATGCCATGCAAAAAATGTTACTTCTTTTTTTATATGAAATAAACGTAAAATTTGAATTAGTTTTATCAGGAGCAATTATTTTTTATCACTCGATCGCTTTGGTGAAAAACACAGACCGCCATGATGGTTGTGATGCATTAGTTGACCGCCATATGTCCTTTGACCTGATGGGTAAAAAACGCCCTTAACCAATCAGAATGCCGCATGGTAATGCGGGTAGAACCCGAAGTTTTCCGAATGGTAGTCATCATAAAAATTATGTAGCATGATGTGTTGGTATAGATTTCAGATGAAAACTGCATGATGGTTTTCAAAAGAGGTGATTACCAATTTTCAAAAAGGTAAATGAAGTCTTGAAAGAAAGGTTTTTACATGATTGGGGATGATAAAATTGGGGTGGAATTTATTTTGAAAGAATTTTAATCTAAAGACTGCGTCGATCATCAAGGTATTTACTTACAAACACAGAGGTGCTAATTTTACAAAATTGACTTGTATTGTTTATAAGCCGCTACCACACTGTGCGAATATGTCTATTATTCACAAATTGTGATTCCACGACTGGCAGGATGAGTGTCAGTCGGTACATAATTATAATTACAATCGGACAATAGTCCTGGTCGAAAGCGTTCTCGCGCTGGTCGTTAATTTTGAGTGCCGGTTGGGGCCGATCAGTCAGACCATTTTGTTTTTGATTTACTGAACTTTACTTTAATTTACTGGCTCCTTTTATAGTAAGGAAACTGCATTCAACCATAATATGTTTTTTGTGATGTGGTTATTTGTTCTCTCGGATGTTCACATCTTGATGAATCATGGTAATATGTTCTGTTGTGTTTGTGTCTGTGATGTTAGTGTACACTCAGCTTCATGGCTAATTGTTGTCCAAGGTGTGAACGGTTTATTTACCTGCAACCAGCCCTGGGACAATAGACTGCCAAGCATTTCCTGACTGGGGATAGAGCGACTGTGTTATAATGAAACAATTCCTTCCGGCAGATTTGGACTGATGGGGCTTATTGTCCTGCTTATCACTTGTCTGTTTATCTGTTTGTCTGAGGACATTCAGTTGTTTCACAAATCGTTTATTATGATGAAAGAAAATATGTTAAACATTCTTTGAAATCAGTATACAAGTGTTACTATGGTAATATAAATATACATTTGATTTATTTCAACAGATGAAAATTCATGCCTTTCTAAAAAAGAGAGGGCTGAGAAACAACCTGTTCCAGATGAGCAGAAAGATCATCGCTATTTTGAAAGGAGAAGACGTAACAATGCTGCAGCAAAACGATCACGAGATGCCAGGAGATTGCGAGAAGAGGAAATGTCGCTACGAATCTCACAGTTAGAACATGAGAATTCATTTCTGCGATCTCAGCTTGCTGCTATGAGAGAAAAAGCCGAGTCCTTGAGGAAGAATCTTGTTGTTGATGACGATGTCAATTCTACAACAACGTAACGGATGGATAGGGGTGCTGATAATGTTACTGAAAACACAAATGCATTTATATTTTCTCAGCATTATGTTTTAGAACCTGATCAATCTAGGAATATCTATTTTATATTTTGCATAAGTATATTCTAACATGGAGTGGGGACCATATTCATTGTTTGACATAACGTTGCCTTCATTATGACTCCATTCTATGTGGTCATAAACTTGGCAGTCATACCTTACAGTGCATCAATAGGTGATTTTCTATTGACTGTGAGATCTTGCATAATGCTGGTGCAGAATTGAATGATTTGATTTTGTACCTGTATTACTTCTTGTTTAAAGTTCAATGTCAAATTGCTAATCTTTTAATGAACAATATGGTGTTTGGATACCATTACTTGGTCAAAATTGACCATCATCAAATGTATACAGCAAATTATTTACCTTAGAGCCCCCCCCCCCCCCCCCCTAAATAGTTTAATCCCATGCAGCGTTTTTACGTCACAAGGACCTTAGTTTTTATGTTTGATTTCATGCATAATGCAGGATTTCACAGTGAACAGAAAATGGTCTATTATGAAGTTGATTACATCCTCATATTGAGATTGGGCTTCGTTATTTTTATCTGTAGTTGACTTAGAGAACACACACTGCTCAAGCATATGTAGAAAGCATGCATTTTATCAATATGCATATGATCAGTGCTAGCATATGTGTTCTTAACATAATAATACATATTTTTTAACTTAAAGGGTTTGAGACCACACAAATTTCACTCCATATGTTATGAATGACATATGCCACTCTGGGCCTCAATGTGTTTTCTTTTAATTGAGAAAATCAACATTCCATCATTTATATCCACTTTATCTTTACTGCATCACTGCTACTTTTATTATATTCAGACTTGATAACAAAGAGTATTTACTGTCTGTATGATGTCTAGCCTGGATACTGTTACCTCCACACAACAATTCTGGAACTTTTGCTGATGTCTGGTACAGTACCAGACTGTCAGTGATTGTCTTTACTCTGGTACAGTACCAGACTGTCAGTGATTGTCTTTATTCTGATACAGTACCAGACTGTCAGTGATTGTCTTTACTCTGGTACAGTACCAGACTGTCAGTGATTGTCTTTACTCTGGTACAGTACCAGACTGTCAGTGATTCTCTTTACTCTGGTACAGTTCCAGACTGTCAGTGATTGTCTTTACTCTGGTATAGTACCAGACTAACAGTGAATATTGTCACATTTGTACAGAACCAGACTGACAGTGAGTGTTTACACTCTGGTACAGTCATGCCAGACTTGATGGAAAGTAGTTCTTTTCAGTTTGGCATGATTCCTAGATTGGAAATGACAGTTATATGCACACATTTACTTAACATGGTGCTCTTCACCTGTTTGACATGTACAATGGTGAATATTTGAGAATCTCTCAAATCAAGGTAATTATAAATCATCTGGTAAATTTTATCTCATATCTTTATCTCTATATTCTCTTTATCTGCTCACCTCATCTCTCAGGAACATACATTGTATTATCTTGCTATGCCTTATTTAATAATAAGTCAATTGCGTGTATTTGAGAAATTATAAATGACTAACTGTAATTTTGTATTTCTTACCAACTTTACTAAACTTAATTAATAACCTATTGTTTATTGATATATTGTCTGTAGTGCAAGTTGTTGCAAATATTGCAAATTTTATCTCTTTTTTTTTAATGCTTGCTATTTCAATTTGATGAATGCTTACTTAACTACTGTAAAATACTTTATTTTAGCTTGAATTAATTTTCGCTGACAAGACTTTGGGTGTTTGAATGTCAAATATAGGGAAAAAGGTATATTTGCTGGATTTTATCATTCCTTCAGCAAAAATTAATTCCAAGTGAAAATAAAGTATTTTACAGTATTTAATAATTCTTACAGTATTGGATTTACTACATGCCTTCACTCTAATCTAAATACCACATGTATATCAGCTGTGAAGCGCATAATGACAATGTTTGGGCCGTTGTGTGAGAGCGCACACACACCAGGCTGCTGTATATGTAAACGATATAATGTACAATCGTACAGTGGATCTCTGTATACTTCTTTCACATGCATGTTGTATGCATGCAAATACAATTAGAACATAGAATAATTGATTATTAGATAGTTATATATCTCTCTACTAATTAGAATAATAATATTAGAATTTAATAATATTGTAGATAATATTACGTAGAACCGCCTTTGTTTAAACATTCATTGTATTTTCTATGGAATGGTTGCAATTTTGGCAAGGTGCTTAGTTTTATGCATCGTAGTTATGAAATAGTTAAAAATATATGTCATTATCAGGTTATTAATTATTATCTACCTCAACTATGGATAATATTTATGTTTCTGGGGTTGCTATTCTATGGAAATCTGAATTCTGGTTGCTATGATACCGTTATTGGTGACATCTGTAAAGAATTTTCTCTTCACTAACTTGACTGTGTGTGACACAACTGTTAAATTGCGTAATTTATAAAAAAAAAAAATAGTAACCATATTTCTAGTAACATTTTAATAAATATAAATAATAATTTTTCATTATTTTTCCTGAAATACGTATTTAGAAATGTCTTAGAATTAGTCAACAACATCTGCACCTCATTGGCTAATAACATATCCCGTTTTATCTTAATGTAACACTCTTTTACAACCATGCACGTTGTTATTATGTTTAATTTGAACATAAATCTTTTACATTACTAACAATTGCGGTGATGGAAATATACCTCAGAACAGACAGATGTTAGCGTAAACCATGCATTTTATAACCCTTGATATATTTTAAGATATTTTTTTAAAACTGTATAGAGAAAGAACAAAAATTGTGTTTGTTATTTTATATAATTCTCAAGGTTACAGGATGAATGGTGGCATATTGGTGTGGTGGTACATGTATATTGGATTAATTTGGTTCCTTTGTTAAATAATTTTATTTGATTATATTTTTCTCTACCACAACACTGGAATGCTATGTTTAAAGCTGCTATGTTTTTATCATGTTTAAATTTGCTAATTTTAGATATAACATAGAATTATTTTATTTTAATCTCACAGAATATTTGCATATTATATTTTATGTTAGGCTGCTTTTCACAGTACTATTTATAATCTCTAAAGTGAATCTCGTAGGAAAATAAATATTATATATGTATTAAGTGTGTTTATTATCTGCCATCCCCACTACTGGTAAACTGTGTTAATTTAAATACAACATATAAGTTTGTTTTCAAAGTCAACTTCACAACGACCAACTGATGGTTTAAAAGGATCCCATACACCAGAAATTATATTCTTATGATGTTCAATTAGTTTTTCATTCAGTTA